ACCGTTACGGCCAACACGGGTTCCAAAAAAAGAAAATACACAACAAACCAACACCCTTTTACGCCTATTCAATAACCATTTATAAACTGTTAAACCCCCCCCCCCCCCCCCCCCCCCAAAAAAAAAAAAAAAAAGGTCTCATCCATACCTCGCTATTTTCTATCAGATATATTCATTCCTCCCGTGTCATTCTCGTTCTAACCAAGAAGCCTTTGACGAATCTATCGATCAGCTGGAATCACAGGCAATGACGAGCGATAATGGTCTGAAGACTTTCCAGACCTTCCAAAAATGGTTGCCACGAAGCTCTTCTTTCTGCGTGCAGTCTTTTGCTGTTGCGCAAGCACCACCTCGGTAGACTCCTGAGGCACTGTGATTTCTCTCGGCGATCCTGGCATGGGAGGCAGTGCCTCATCCGCGCTGGACGGAGGTGTGAGTTCCAGCACCGGGTAGCCACTGACTGAGACTGGCCGAAAGTTGGCAAGAGTCTTGCCCTCCGTCAGTTTTGCGCCTTTTCACGACGAAGGGGGTTGCCCCAAACTCACCCTAACGCTCAACTTCTTTCTCGCCTTCGTACCCCTGGAAATGTCCCCTTGGGCATCAAGAACTCCGTCTTTCCCTCCCATCGCCTGAGCACAGTGCACCGTGCTCTTCTCCAAATCATCAATCTCACCGGCAACCGTCTTGCCGTTGCAAGCAAGCTGTTCCTCCGTGGCCGGCACAAATCTTAAAACGCCCCTTGCTGGCAGCACACCGATGGCCTCCTCCATATGCTTTTGTATCAATGCCGTGTTGCGCTTATTTGTCGTCGGCAAAAGCTGTGAAGGCAGAGCAAATATCGACATGACATAGGCCGGATCAAAGGATCCACCAAAGAACATGCAGGCTCCATGCTGAAGGGTGACCACAATAGAAGTGACTGGTCGTTGATATCGCGTTGATAGGTGGTAAGAGAGTGTGGTGATGAAAGTAAACTCGTCGCTGATCTGCAGCATCGTTGGCATGTGCAATCGATACCCAAATGAATCATGGTTACTCACGATGACATTCGTC